AAAAAAAAAAAAAAAAAAAAAAAAAAAAAATTGGCTATTTGTGCAGGAACTTGGCAGGTTATTTCTACTCTTTGCAATCCCTTTCTTAGCTTTATGACAAATATGAATGGTAATCCAAACAAAAGCATGGTGAACCAGGGAAATAATTTCCCACTTTAACTTTTCTTGGCTTATTAAAGCTCCACTGACGTAAATGTGATGAATATTAACAATGAAAAACACCAGAGATCATCAGTATTTAAAAGCAAAGATTTTTTCTGAAAATTTATAGGCTTGTACATGAGAAATATTTATTGAAATCTATTTTTTAACTTGACTTGTTAGAATTGAGCCCAGTTGAAGCATCGTTGTAATTTAGTTATTTGATAAGCTATTGCATTTCTCCAAAGAAAAAAGTAGATACTTCTAGCTTTGAAAGATAAAAATCAGTGGGATTTCTTTGCCAAATTGAAAAGCACCTATTTAAGAAAACAACTTATTTTACACTTAATTATCATTTTGCTTCTTCTTAACAATTATAATTTAGTTTATGAAATATTAGACTGGTTTTGGTGGGAAGGAGTAGTTTTTCCTGTCCTGACAAACAGCTCTTGAATTTTTGGCACATTTGTATCTGATGGGATAGGTTTCTTTTTATTTCATACCATCACTTGATGCGTGTGTGTGTGTGTGTGTGTGTGTTTTGCTTCCTAATTTACTCATCCAAATTTTTCATCTTCAGAGATATGAAAGTTTGTCTGAGACTTCTGTTTGGCACCACTAAGTTGTTTGTGTTTGAGATTAGCTTACTTCAGTGGTGGGTGTGGGTTTTGTCTTTTTTTTTCTTTTTCTGAATTTTATAAACTCAAATTTGTCTCTGGATTCTCCAGCACTGTTTGGAAAAATCAAGAAAGTAGGTCTATAAGTTATTTTATGCATTCATCTTGGAAATAAAAGTAACTTAGAACTGAACTCTTAGAGCTGGAAAGAAACCACCTGTGATATTACTGGGTTCAATGCCCTTATCAGACATGCAGG